GCACGCCCCCTTATAACAACTTTTTCAACCTACCCTTTGAAATCTGCGGGAAACCCCTTTCGTATCCAAACCCTGGTTTCTTTCCCCATCGCCCCATAAAAACAGCCCCAGATCCTTTTCCTTAGCTACCCCTTCCCCCCACCCCGCAAGTCAACCCCCCATCCCTACCCTCTCCCCCAAATTCTCCCCATTGTTTCTAAAATCTAAAACCCCCCCTCCTCCACCCCAAGAAAGTCTCACATTTTTCTTCCAAAAGCCCTGGATACCTCTTAGGTTTAAAAGGGGGCCCCCTCAAGTCCGTTAAAAACAGGGTCTTTTGGGCCGTGTATACGCAAACTACCTTAACCCCACCAAAATCAAACCCCGCATTTTCGTTTTAAAAATAACCCATCGAAACCTGGGCCCCGTATCCCTGTCTATGAAAGTAAAGCTCAACCCTTTGGTCCCCACTCCTAACATCCCCTTTAAAACCCCCCGCCCCGCAAAAGATCCCTTAGGCTTTTAACCAAAAAAACCCCCCCCCTTGGCTTTCCAAAATCCTTTTTACGTTTCTAAAACAATTCCAAAACACCGCCTTCGATTGTTTCCGGAGGGGGAAAAGTTTTCCCAAAAAATAAAAACCCAAAAAATTTTGGCCCCAAATTCATTTTTAAACCCCCCATTTACGCTCCGCCCCGGGAAATAAACCAAAAACCCCTGGGGGAGTCGCTAAAATCTCCACCATCCCTTACCCGGGGTACCCTAAACCCCCCTCCCCCCCCCCAAATTGAAAATAAACGGGCTCGTTTTCCGAATCAGGATCCCCCCCCACCCTTTTAAAAAGTTCCCCCAATATGCCAAAACAAAACGATTCAGGGCCCCATTTAAAACCCGACCAACCTTAAAGTTATGCTCCTCCACAAAACAATATCTATGGGATAACATCTCAAAAACCCCTGGAGCCAAAAAACGCTTCACATTCGCACACATCCCATTTACATTTTAAGTCATAACTGGGAAAAAATTTTTAAAAGGGTTTTACCGCCTTTCCCCGGAACTTCTTTCCCCTAGGTGCATTATAGCCTTCCTACCCTTTCCCCCCCATTTTTCTTTTCCACGGGGGAGCGCTATTCCCCCCCCCCCCGGTCCAACCCCCTGAAACCCGCCCCAAATGTGGGGGCCCCCACCCCACCCCTGTTTAGCCCCCGGTTTCTTCCCCCGGGCCCCTGCACCGGGGGGCAAGGGCATCATTTTGGGAATTTAGAGTGCGTTGCCGCCCTCTTTCGCCAACACTCTTTTGGGATCCTTGTTCTGGTTTGGGGGATGCCTCACAATGTACCTTTCCCCCACCAATCGACCTGGTCACCCTTCCCCTTTTGAAGCGGCACCCCCAGTCAGCGACTGCTTCCCCTCGTCATCCCTCTCTGGGCCCTTCCACCCACTGACATCATCCCAATTTTGTGTCTCCAAAAAACCCTTTCCCTCAAAATGTCTGAAGCCCATCCCCCACCGTTCCTCTCCACTCAGCTTGGTCTCCCCTTCCCCCAAAGCGGGGGGACCCTAGAAAAATACAGGCTTTTTTTGGGCTCGACCCACCGTCGGGAAATCTCCCCCACCTCCGGGTCCAAGAAGAACATGGCCCTTTACCCGGTGTCCGCGGGCGGCCCCCCCCATTGGGTCAGGCCCTTTGCTCGTTCCCCCTGTTTGCTCCTGTCGTCGCTGCTGCCCCCATGGGGCTGGGCCCTATGGTCATAAACCCACATAAACCTGAAATCTTGCGCTTTCCCTTTCATAATTTCCCTTTACTTGTGTCCGGAAGTCTTCCCGGGGTGACAAACGATGGGATGGAATGCCTCAGCGTCATCTTCAGATTGAACGTACCCTCTGGCAAGCCGGCGTACGCCCCATCCACCCAGGTACCTGCTGTTGCCAGATGCACAGTACCGTAACGTTCAAAAACGTTCCGTATGTCTGCCTCGTCAGCTTCGAAAGGCACGTTACGTACCTTTACCCAAGTGTAGTGTCGCGACACATCAATTAGACGAACTCGTATTGCCGAGTTAACGTCCACACAGCCATCTTGATACTGCTCCACCAGGCGCTCATACACTGCCGTTGATCGTAGCTTAACGAATATCCGGTAAGCCCCGTTGAGCAATCTTGCTCAGCAATGCCGTATGTGTCGCGAATAATCAAAGGTAGAATCACCTGTGCGGACTGAGGTGTAACTACACCCCTCACTAAATCAAAGCACACAGTGTTGACACGCCTTCTTGTATTCTGCGCCATCTTGTGAAAATCAATCTGCGCAGGAAGGCCTCTCAACCAGGAGCGTGTGTGCAGCACAATCTCACGGCCCTATAGCGATGAGGTCAATGACATCATGTACCTATTATATTCAGCATAACCACTACAGCACTATTATTCCCTTTATAAATCACTGACCATTATTGTTATCATTGCATCATGCATAAGACTATCAAATCATATAAACTCAAGAAAGTAAAGAATTGTTTATATTCACAGGCACTTCTTAAATAAACTTTTTTCTGGATTTCATATTGGCAAAATCATCAATTATATTCTGAAAATCAGTATTTCTTGTTAGATCAGACTCAGTGGTCAACAAGGCTAGGTTACACAATTTGTCTTGGCTCATTGTTGAACGGAGCTGGTTTTTCACTCTTTTCGAAACAGAAAATGAACGTTCTCCTTCACAGTTAGTAGCTGGAATTGTTAGGCGATACACTGTCAACATTAGGGAAGGTTTCTGAGATACCTGCATTTCTTAAATGTTTCAAAGCAGCTGAGGGCGCACATTTTTCAGGTGGAGCTTTAATCTGATTCATATACCCAGAAAAATGAACTATTTCTTCAACAAATGTGTCCTGAACATCTGCTGAAAGGTGTTGTTGCAACTTTAATGCAGATTCTTTCAATTCTGCATCTGGCATAGTAGTAATTTTGAACAGAAATCCAAACTTGTCATTGAGATTCTGGTAGATTTCTTTTCTTTTCACCAATTCTGTAATCAGTGAATCCAGAATGACGAAGTATGTAGCTGTCTTACATTTCTGCCTTGGTAGCAACATAATTTCATTGGCAGGCTCTTCAAAATTGCGTTTCCTCTTGGATGAGCCCCTGAACCCCTTGGACCGCGGGGCCCTAGGCAAATGCCTAGTTTGCCTATGCGGTAATCCGGCCCTGGGTATATATGAGGTTGGTGTATATATGAGGTTGAGTGTATATAGGTTGGGTGTATATATGAGGTTGGGTGTATATATGAGGTTGATTGTATATATGAGGTTGATTGTATATATGAGGTTGAGTGTATATATAAGGTTGAGTGTATATATAAGGTTGAGTGTATATATGAGGTTGAGTGTATATATGAGGTTGGGTGTATATATAAGGTTGAGTGTATATATGAGGTTGAGTGTATATATGAGGGGTGTATATATAAGGTTGAGTGTATATATGAGGTTGAGTGTATATAGGTTGAGTATATGAGGTTGAGTGTATATAGGTTGAGTGTATATAGGTTGAGTGTATATGAGGTTGAGTGTATATAGGTTGAGTGTATATATGAGGTTGAGTGTATATATGAGGTTGAGTGTATGAGGTTGAGTGTATATAGGTTGAGTGTATATATGAGGTTGAGTGTATGTATGAGGTTGAGTGTATGTATGAGGTTGAGTGTATATATGAGGTTGAGTGTATATATGAGGTTGAGTGTATATATGAGGTTGAGTGTATATATGAGGTTGAGTGTATGTATGAGGTTGAGTGTATGTATAAGGTTGAGTGTATATAGGTTGAGTGTATATGAGGTTGAGTGTATATAGGTTGAGTGTATATATGAGGTTGAGTGTATATATGAGGTTGAGTGTATATATGAGGTTGGGTGTAAAAGAGAGCATGACGTGAGGCGTGAAGTGCGCCTAACTTTACATTGCTTCCTAAACGATCCAACATAAGGAGGTAGACAGTGTTGTTTTGATTGAAATTGTTCCAGATGCTGATTCAAGCCACATTTTCTTATGACTGCCGCCTCATTGCTAAGTCAAGAAGAACAAAATAGCACTTTATACACGTTTAAGGATATCAGAATAGTTTGTGCACGTTCAAGGTCAGAATAGTTTCTGCACGTTTCAGGAGATCATAATAGCAGTTTGTATTGGTTTAGCTGCACCTCTAGCCAGGAAACGTCAGGTTCCTGAATTTAGCATAAATCTGCATGCTCATTTACATAAGAGAAAGTCCTTGATTATACAAGTCTGTTAAGAACCCGAGTTACAAGTGTGTGTAATACTGCACTACGAACCCACAACACAGTACACAGAGGAAGTATTTGTGGGGTAATGTAATTGTGAACAACCCTTCAAGGACGTGGTGGGAATACTGGTGAAGGGCTCTTGTTCCAGTGAGTTGTAGTAACATCCCTGTCCTAGGATCAAGTCAGATTACCTCCCACTTCTCAGACACTATTGGATCCCAGTGGAAATAAGTCGCTCGGATTTTTTGGGGGGGTTATTATTGGTAACTTATGTATATTACTATGTATGATAATTGTACTGATGTGTACCTGTGCCTAAATAAACTTAGCAAGTTTAATTAGGCACAGGTACACGTATTAGTACAATTATCGTACACATATAAGTTCAATTATCGTTCACACATAAGTACAGTTATGGTACACAAGTACAATTATGGTACACAGAAGTACAATTATGGTACACACAGAAGTACAATTATCGTACACACAGAAGTACAATTATGGTACACACAGAAGTACAATTATCGTACACACACAAGTACAATTATCGTACACACACATGTACAATTATCATAGTGTAAATTACTTAGGATAACCCAAAAAAGTCAGACGAGGGGATTTATTTCCATTAGGGTTCAGCTGTTGTCTCTAAATATAATAAATTATTATTAATATTATTATTATTATTATTATTATTATTATTATTATTACTATATGCATATTTTGTGATGGTGTGCACCAACAGGTCGGCAGTACACACAGGTCTGGTGGCCTCCTTAGGCTGGGTGGTGGTGTGGGTGGCCCACTGGACACAAGTATTTCTGTGGCATGTCCTGAGCATGGTAGTGAGGGCACTGGTGGTGCCCTTGGTGGTGGTGGGTTGTATTCTACAGCTGCTACACCGCCTCTACCTCACCTTCCACGGTCCCAGGACCACCAGCAACCAGGTGAGCATTACTACTCCATCTTCATGACTACGTACGAAAGAAAGTCCATGGGGGGGGAGGTGTTTAACCTGGGGGACAGGATTAAGTGATTTTTGTGAGGCATAATACCGTGACTGGAATAATAATGTGACTTTGTAAATGGTGTAAGGCGGACTAAAACCTCGTTGTAAGCTTCTCTCTCTCTATCTGCGGGTCATTTGTGTATTGTAACCCAGGGTAGTAACAGCCTGGTTGATCAGACCCTGATCCACCATGAGGCCTGGTCTCAGAGCCGCGGGGGCGTTGACCCCCCGAAACCCCTCTCCAGGTAAACGTAGATTGAAAAAAACAGCAACCATAGAAATAACACAAAATAGCGAAGGATGACTTAAGTAATTGACGTGAATGTTAACTGTGATCAAAATAAAGTTATATTAACGAAACTAACAAAAGCTAAAGTAACAGCTAACGAGGAAACAGAACAACGACAGCTAAAGCAAAAATAATACCAACAACGGCTACAACTACACCAGAAACAACAGCTACAATTAAAAATATTGTCACTAGTAGAAATAAAACCAACAGCTAAAGTATAAAACCAAAACCAACAACAGTTAAACCAGAAACACCAAAACCAACAACAGTTAAACCAGAAACACCAAAACCAACAACATTTAAACCAGAAACACCAAACCAACAACAGTTAAACCAGAAACACCAAAACCAACAACAGTTAAACCAGAAACACCAAAACCAACAACATTTAAACCAGAAACACCAAAACCAACAACATTTAAACCAGAAACACCAAAACCAACAACAGTTAAACCAGAAACACCAAAACCAACAACAGTTAAACCAGAAACACCAAAACCAACAACAGTTAAACCAGAAACACCAAAACCAACAACATTTAAACCAGAAACACCAAAACCAACAACATTTAAACCAGAAACACCAAAACCAACAACATTTAAACCAGAAACACCAAAACCAACAACAGTTAAACCAGAAACACCAAAACCAACAACAGTTAAACCAGAAACACCAAAACCAACAACAGTTAAACCAGAAACAACCAAAGTAAAGCCAACAATAGCAGAAACAAAAACCAACCACAGCAAAAATAATAAACGCAACAAAATAAAACCTTCAAAATAACAATTAGAGAAAAAACTAAACCAAAGAAACCAAAAGCAATAAAAGCCACAAAGACAACAGTAATACAACAAAACAAAATCACCACCGCATAAAGCAAAGAAAAGCAATAAAAGTCACAAAGTGATAATACAAGGAAAAACTCACCACCAACTAAACCAAAGACAATAAAAGTCTTGAAGAAGACAACAACAAAATCATTTGCAGCAACAGACAAAAACCGCAACAAAGGAAGTACTATAACAATAACAACAGCCACAACACAAGTGTCTAACACCATCACGTCATCACCAGGATAATAGACCTTCCCTTGTCTTCAGTAACTTCTGGAGCATAACACACATGTACAACACTTAGGTATCTTTATTCCGAAACGTATCGCCTACGCAGTAGGCGTCTTCAGTCGAGTACAAAGAAAGCAGCAGAAGCAATAGAGATACGAAGATATAGATTTGAGGCGGTCAGTCCCTCAGCCTGAAGAGTATTGCTCCATAGTCTGGAATAATGTGAAAATGAAGCGTGTTCGTGTAAGTTTGCCAGGACGTGTCCTGGCCAGGGTTTTCTTCATGTAGTGACCCGGCAGTCTACCTACCTACCTGGAGGGCATTCCGGGGATCAACGCCTCCGCGGCCCGGCCCACGACCAGGCCTCCCGGTGGATCAGGGCCTGATCAACGTGGCTCCTGGAGTGTCAGAGTTGGTACAAGTGGTGTACTATACAGCTTTGTGGCGAGGGCACGGTGAACAGTCAAGTGGAGTACCATTTACAACCCTATAGCTGGGGACAAGGGCGCAGTGATCCGTCTTCGTGTCAAGTGGAATACCGTTTACAGCCCTATGACGGAGACTGCCTTATAACAAGGGCACTATCACTCTTTCAACTGCAATTGAGCCATTCCTGGCACTCAGGCTGCAGCCCGAGTACCAGAACGACTGAAGAGATTGTCTGGAGGTGTGTTGAACATCTGACATCTAAAAGAAGTTAACTGAAGATGAGGCAACAGTATGGAGACTATCAAAGATGAGACGCAGATAATTTTGACGGGAGAGGCGGAGCTCACTAGTAGCAGTAATGTAATCATTGAGAGGGCAGAGCCCTCTCAATAATTACATTGAGAGGGCAGGGCCCTCTCAGATCCATCCCTTCTCACTTCAGACTAGTGGTCAAGCAAAAAAAAAAAAAGTTATCTAAGATATTTTCTGTACCAAGATACCATTGTGTTGCAGTATCTGACAGTGATAAGAGAGAGACTTTAGTGTGTTTGAACTTCGGTCATTTGCTATGATTGACGCGTGAGAGATGCTTCCCAGGGCGGTGGTAACCTGCGGCTCACAATCCCAGAGCGGTGGTAACCTGCGGCTCACAATCCCAGAGCGGTGGTAACCTGCGGCTCACAATCCCAGGGCGGTGGTAACCTGCAGCTCACAATCCCAGGGCGGTGGTAACCTGCGGCTCACAATCCCAGGGCGGTGGTAACCTGCGGCTCACAATCCCAGGGCGGTGGTAACCTGCGGCTCACAATCCCAGGGCGGTGGTAACCTGCGGCTCACAATCCCAGGCGGGGGTAACCTGCGGCTCACAATCCCAGGGCGTGGTAACCTGCGGCTCACAAACCCAGGGCGGTGGTAACCTGCGGCTCACAATCCCAGGGCGGTGGTAACCTACGGCTCACAATCCCAGGGCGGTGGTAACCTGCGGCTCACAATCCCAGGGCGGTGGTAACCTGCGGCTCACAATCCCAGGGCGGTGGTAACCTGCGGCTCACAATCCCAGGGCGGTGGTAACCTGCGGCTCACAATCCCAGGGCGGTGGTAACCTGCGGCTCAATCCCAGAGCGGTGGTAACCTGCGGCTCACAATCCCAGGCCTGTGGTAACCTGCGGCTCAATCCCAGAGCGGGTGGTAACAATGCGCTCACAACCCTGCCTGTGGTAACCTGCGTCAATCCCAGCAGCGGTGGTAACCTGCGGCTCACAATCCCAGAGCGGTGGTAACCTGCGGCTCACAATCCCAGGGCGGTGGTAACCTGCAGCTCACAATCCCAGGCCTGTGGTAACCTGCGGCTCACAATCCAGGGCGGTGGAACCTGCGGCTCACAATCCCAGGGCGTGGTAACCTGCGGCTCACAATCCAGCCTGTGGTAACCTGCGGCTCACAATTCCAGCCTGTGGTAACCTGGGCTCAATCCCAGGGCGTGGTAACCTGCGGCTCAATCCCAGGCCTGTGGTAACCTGCGGCCAATCCCAGGCGGTGGTACCGCGGCTCACAATCCAGGGCGGTGGTAACCTGCAGCTCACAATCCCAGGCCTGTGGTAACCTGCGGCTCACAATCCCAGGCCTGTGGTAACCTGCGGTCACAACCCAGGCCTGTGTAACCTGCGGCTCACAATACCCAGAGCGGTGGTAACCTGCGGCTCACAATCCCAGGCGGTGGTAACCTGCAGCTCACAATCCCAGGCCTGTGGTACCTGCGGCTCACAATCCCAGGCCTGTGGTAACTGCGCTCACAATCCAGGCGGTGTAACCTGCAGCTCACAATCCCAGGCCTGTTGTAACCTGCGGCTCACAATCCCAGGCCTGTGGTAACCTGCGGCTCACAATCCCAGAGCGGTGGTAACCTGCGGCTCACAATCCCAGGGCGGTGGTAACCTGCAGCTCACAATCCCAGGCCTGTGGTAACCTGCGGCTCACAATCCCAGGCCTGTGGTAACCTGCGGCTCAATCCCAGGCCGGTGGAAACCTGCGGCTCACAATCCCAGGTCGGGTGCAGACGAATGGACAACTGTTGAGACCGTTCATTTAGCAGTAGATAGGATACCTGGGTGTTAGTCGACTGTTAAGGGTGGCATCCTGGGGTGGTGGTGATCTATACGTTATATGCAGCTGGGCTTTGAAATTAATCAAGATAAGATAGCAGGTCTTGGCCTGTAAATAAGCCGAGGTAGGCTAACAGATCTTAGCCAGTAAATAAGCCGAGGTAGGCTAACAGATCTTAGCCTGTAAATGACCCGAGGTAGGCTAACAGATCTTAGCCAGTAAATAAGCCGAGGTAGGCTAACAGATCTTAGCCTGTAAATGAGCCGAGGTAGGCTAACAGATCTTAGCCAGTAAATAAGCGAGGTAGCTAACAGATCTTAGCCCGTAAGACCCGAGGTAGGCTAACAGATCTTAGCCAGTAAATAAGCCGAGGTAGGCTAACAGATCTTAGCCTGTAAATGAGCCGAGTTAGGCTAACAGATCTTAGCCTTAAATTGCCGACTAAGCTAACGATCTTAGCCTTAAATGAGTCCGAGGTAGGCTAATAATCTTAATGCTGTAAATGAGCCGAGGTTAGCTAACAGATCTTAGCTGTAAATAAGCCGAGGTAGGCTAACAGATCTTAGCCTGTAAACAAGCCGAGGTAGGCTAACAGATCTTAGCCTGTAAACAAGCCGAGGTAGGCTAACAGATCTTAGCCTGTAAACAAGCCGAGGTAGGCTAACAGATCTTAGCCTGTAAACAAGCCGAGGTAGGCTAACAGATCTTAGCCTGTAAACAAGCCGAGGTAGGCTAACAGATCTTAGCCTGTAAATGAGCCGATGTGGGCAAACAAATCTTATCTAATTTCACGTTATTTAACGCTTAATGTTCTTAACTCTAAATTTTACGTGGTACAATAAATTTTAATGTGTAAGCGTTCCTATACTTGTATCAGTGTTTATCACTATATGATTTTCGAGGCAGAATTTCTAAAATTTAATTGACCTGGAAAGTAATTTTGATTGTTACCTGCGGGATGGGAATTAAAAAATATAACGTAGCTACTTATTTGTAGCTACAAAAGCAGAGTTCTTTTTGTAGTGCACCGTGTGTAGTGCACCGTGTGTAGTGTGTGTGTGTGTGTGTAGTGTGTGTGAACCTTGTGTACCGTCTGTAGTGTGTGTGAACCTTGTAGTGTACCGTCTGTAGTGTGTGTGAACCTTGTAGTGTGTGTGAACCTTGTAGTGCACCGTGTGTAGTGTGTGTGAACCTTGTAGTGCACCGTGTGTAGTGTGTGTGAACCTTGTGTACCGTCTGTAGTGGTGTGAACCTTGTAGTGTACCGTCTGTAGTGGTGTGAACCTTGTAGTGCACCGTTGTAGTGTGTGTGAACCTTGTAGTGCACCGTGTGTAGTGTGTGTGAACCTTGTGTACCGTCTGTAGTGTGTTTGAACCTTGTAGTGTACCGTCTGTAGTGCGTGTGAACCTTGTAGTGCACCGTGTGTAGTGTGTGTGAACCTTGTAGTGCACCGTGTGTAGTGTGTGTGAACCTTGTGTACCGTCTGTAGTGTGTGTGAACCTTGTAGTGTACCGTCTGTAGTGTGTGTGAACCTTGTAGTGTACCGTCTGTAGTGGGTGTGAACCTTGTAGTGTACCGTCTGTAGTGGGTGTGAACCTTGTAGTGCACCGTCTGTAGTGGGTGTGAACCTTGTAGTGCACCGTCTGTAGTGTGTGTGAACCTTGTAGTGCACCGTCTGTAGTGTGTGTGAACCTTGTAGTGTACCGTCTGTAGTGGGTGTGAACCTTGTAGTGCACCGTCTGTAGTGTGTGTGACCCTTGTAGTGCACCGTCTGTAGTGTTAGTTACCATTTTGTCCTAGGCACATGTCGATTAGACACTAGTGTGTGTGAACCTTGTAGTGCACCGTCTGTAGTGTGTGTGACCCTTGTAGTGCACCGTCTGTAGTGTGTGTGACCCTTGTAGTGCACCGTCTGTAGTGTGTGTGAACCTTGTAGTGCACCGTCTGTAGTGTGTGTGACCCTTGTAGTGCACCGTCTGTAGTGTGTGTGAACCTTGTAGTGCACCGTCTGTAGTGTGTGTGAACCTTGTAGTGCACCGTCTGTAGTGTGGTGTGAACCTTGTAGTGCACCTCTGTAGTGTGTGTGACCTTGTAGTGCACCGTCTGTAGTGTGTGTGAACCTTGTAGTGCACCGTTCTGTAGTGTGTGTGAACCTTGTAGTGTACCGTCTGTAGTGTGTGTGAACCTTGTAGTGCACCGTCTGTAGTGTGTGTGAACCTTGTAGTGTACCATCTGTAGGGGGTGTGTGAACCTTGTAGTGCACCGTCTGTAGTGTGTGTGAACCTTGTAGTGCACCGTCTGTAGTGTGTGTGAACCTTGTAGTGTACCGTCTGTAGTGTGTGTGAACCTTGTAGTGCACCGTCTGTAGTGTGTGTGAACCTTGTAGTGTACCATCTGTAGTGTGTGTGAACCTTGTAGTGCACCGTCTGTAGTGTGTGTGACCCTTGTAGTGCACCGTCTGTAGTGTGTGTGAACCTTGTAGTGCACCGTCTGTAGTGTGTGTGAACCTTGTAGTGCACCGTCTGTAGTGTGTGTGAACCTTGTAGTGCACCGTCTGTAGTGTGTGTGAACCTTGTAGTGTACCATCTGTAGTGGTGTGACCTTGTAGTGCACCGTCTGTAGTGTGTGTGAACCTTGTAGTGTACCGTCTGTAGTGTGTGTGAACCTTGTAGTGCACCGTCTGTAGTGTGTGTGAACCTTGTAGTGTACCATCTGTAGTGGGTGTGAACCTTGTAGTGCACCGTCTGTAGTGTGTGTGAACCTTGTAGTGTACCGTCTGTAGTGTGTGTGAACCTTGTAGTGCACCGTCTGTAGTGTGTGTGAACCTTGTAGTGTACCATCTGTAGTGGGTGTGAACCTTGTAGTGAGTGCACCGTCTGTAGTGGGTGTGAACCTTGTAGTGTACCGTCTGTAGTGGGTGTGAACCTTGTAGTGCACCGTCTGTAGTGGGTGTGTGTGTGTGTGTGTGTGTGTGTGTGAACCTTGTAGCGCACCGTCTGTATGTGTGTGTGAACCTTATAGGTCACAGGTGGAGGGTGAGGTGTAGGTCACAGGTGAACGTGGAACGTGAGGTGACCTTAACGTTATTCCTAGGGATCTATACAACCCCTACGAACTTAGAACTTTCCCAGTCATATAACAGCTGGTAACTCACTTGTGTTGCAGGTGGTGTTCTTCCTGCTGGTGCAGCAGCTGGTGACGCCCCAGGCATACCTGACGGCGCTCTACTTCCTTCTCTTCTACACCATCCTTCACTACCTTCACAAAGCTCTCTTCGTTAGTATATCTGCACTTTATTCCTGTACATTGTTGACTATTATCTTATGTTTGAGAGGCAGTGAATTGTGGCTTCAACTTCTGTACCTTTATACCAAGTCTGAGTAATGATAAATTATATGTTCTTATGTTCTTAAGTTGATCTTGAGATGAGGTTTACAGTTTCCTAATAAATGTTTTTCGCCACCAATCACGTGATATTCAAGACTCGTCATTGGGTGCAGACGCAGCAGGCCAGGGAGGCGCAGGACCTCCTTCGTCTCATGGCTTGGTACATCACTGTCAGGTTAGGTAAAGGAGTAGCTATGTCCTTCGTCCTCGTCATGTTTACACTCCAGTTCAGCCACGTCGAACCTGACCTCGTCTACATCGCCAGCACCTTCATCTACTTCGTCATCACCCAGCGCAAGTGGACGGGTTAGTTTGATTTATGCATAGATTACACAGCTTGGGCCGGTGGGCCTGCTGCAGTGCTCCTGCCTTCTTGAGCGGGTATGACTTGGACTTACCCAGCATGGGCCAGTAAGAACTCTCTCAACGAAGGAGGGATCGAACTCACGGCAAGCTTGTATCAAAACTTTACATTACCACACAATCCTAGGTGTGTTTCTACAGTTCAGTTAAGATTAGATTTGTTAGGATTATTCTCAGGATAACCCAATAGTTACTGTCATCGAGGACTGTCTTATTTTCATTGTGGTCCTTCAGTATTGTCCCCCAGGATGCCACCCACACCAGTCGACAAACACCCAGGTACCTACTTACTGCAACACAATGGTATCTTGGTACGGAACAGTAAACACCTTGGACAACATACACTGCAAGACAATGGTATCTTGGTACAGAACAGTAAACACTCTGGACAACATACACTGCAACACAATGGTATCTTGGTACAGAACAGTAAACACTCTGGACAACATACACTGCAACACAGTGGTATCTTGGTACAGAACAGTAAACACTCTGGACAACATACACTGCAACACAGTGGTATCTTGGTACAGAACAGTAAACACCCTGGACAACATACACTGCAACACAATGGTATCTTGGTACAGAACAGTAAACACCCTGGACAACATACACTGCAACACAATGGTATCTTGGTACAGAACAGTAAACACTCTGGACAACATACACTGCAACACAATGGTATCTTGGTACAGAACAGTAAACACTCTGGACAACATACACTGCAACACAGTGGTATCTTGGTACGGAACAGTAAACACTCTGGACAACATACACTGCAACACAGTGGTATCTTGGTACAGAACAGTAAACACTCTGGACAACATACACTGCAACACAATGGTATCTTGGTACAGAACAGTAAACACTTGGACAACATACACTGCAAACAATGGTATCTTGGTACGAACAGTAAACCTCTGGACAACATACACTGCAACACAGTGGTATCTTGGTACAGAACAGTAAACACCCTGGACAACATACACTGCAACACAATGGTATCTTGGTACAGAACAGTAAACACCCTGGACAACATACACTGCAACACAGTGGTATCTTGGTACAGAACAGTAAACACCCTGGACAACATCTACCAGTGAGAATGGTTGGATATGAGAGGGTCCGTGACCTTCAATGATTACATTCTTGCTTCTGCTAGTGGTCTACATCTCGCCTCCTGACAGTATATAAGGCTCGCAGACTGTTACTTCAACTTCATATTGTTTCAGACTATGGAACAAAACTCTTCTCCAGGCTGAGGGACTGATCACCACAAAACTACATCTTCAAGGGTGATGGACTGATTACATCGTCTTCACATTTCTGCTGCTGCTTCCAACTTTTCTGTACTCGACTAAAGAAGTCTGCTGTGTAGGCGGAACGTTTCGGAATAAAAATACCTAACTGTTGCATGTATCTTACCAACCTGTCTGTATTTTATACAATTTTAATAATATAAATGTTATTATCATCATTTAATTAATTATTCATTTTGTAAAATAACGTAGAAGAAAACCAAAATCTTTCTCTGACAGCACTGAACAGCCCATGCGGGTTTAATGTATTTTTTACAAGTATAATACTACTCGTATATGAATTGTAATACTGACAAGATGAAAATTAGACACATGCAACGTCTGGGTATTTTTAACGTAGACATTTCATCATCCAGTGGCTTTATCAATACAAATTCTAGGACACAATTTGAAGACAGTAGAACTATATACAGAAGATGAGGTAATCAGTCCCTCAGCCTTAGAGTTGGTGTGAAGAGCACCGTAGTCGTGAAGATTCTGGAGCACAGGTAAGAAGGCTGGCGCTTACATACTGGCGTCAGGTGAAAAACTGGTAGCAGACGAGGGCATTGTCACTGGTAGGCGGGATTCTCCAGTGGAAGTAGGTCATACCCAAAGGACGGGTTAGTACAAGTGACGAAGGTTGTGTAGATATTCACTGAACCAAGATTCCATGATGTTGCATTGTCTGACAAGTTGTACATGAATGGTATATAATACCCACTGGGGAATCCCGCCTACCAGTGACGATACCTTCGTCTGCTACCAGTCCCTTTTCACCTGACGCCAGTATATAAGCGCCAGCCTTCTTACCCGTGCTCCAGATTCTTTACGACTACGGTGCTCTTCACACCAACTCCAAGGCTGAGGGACTGATTACCTCATCTATATACAGTTCTACTGTCTTCAAATTGTGTCCTAGAATTTGTATTGATAAAGCCATTGAATGGCGAAACTTCTACATTAAATATACGCAGATGTTGCATATGTATCTAATTTTCATAACACTAATTCACCTTCAGGAAACGAGCGCATTGTGTCGTGGTGTCGTGCGCTGCAGGTGGGTCTCCTGGAGGAGGAGGAAGAGTTCTGGGTGCCACTGTTGCTGCGGTGGCTGCCTGTGGCTGCGTCACTATGTGTGGGGGCGCTGGTGGTGCCCTCATGGCCCCTGCTGGTGGTAGTGGCAGCCTACACCAACCTGCTGGTACCAGGGATACTCCTGGCAGATGAGTACCTGGCTCACCAGGCCAGGTACAGTGTCCTCACTACCAGGTGCAGGAGAGCCACACCACAGGTGAGGATGTTACTTCCTTCGTTCCCCTCTGTCATACTAGGGAAAAATAAACAAAAATGCCAGCCTTTATTCCTGTTATTTATACCATATTTTCATACATATATCTATCTTTCCTGCTTTCTGTTCCACTAATTAGTATTTTTTTTTTAAGTTGAATTACACGAATGATCAAACCTTCATCATTCCTTCCAGTGAATGATCAAACCATCATTCCTTCCAGTGAATGATCAAACCTTCATCATTCCTTCCAGTGAATGATCAAAACTTCATCATTCCTTCCAGTGAATGATCAAACCTTCATCATTCCTTCCAGTGAATGATCAAACCATCATTCCTTCCAGTGAATGATCAAAACTTCATCATTCCTTCCAGTGAATGATCAAAACTTCATTCCTTCCAGTGAATGATCAAACCTTCATCATTCCTTCCAGTGAATGATCAAAACTTCATCATTCCTTCCAGTGAATGATCAAACCTTCATCATTCCTTCCAGTGAATGATCAGACCTTCATCATTCCTTCCAGTGAATGATCAAACCATCATTCCTTCCAGTGAATGATCAAACCTTCATCATTCCTTCCAGTGAATGATCAAACCATCATTCCTTCCAGTGAATGATCAGACCTTCATCATTCCTTCCAGTGAATGATCAAACCATCATTCCTTCCAGTGAATGATCAGACCTTCATCATTCCTTCCAGTGAATGATCAAACCATCATTCCTTCCAGTGAATGATCAAAACTTCATCATTCCTTCCAGTGAATGATCAAACCTTCATCATTCCTTCCAGTGAATGATCAGACCTTCATCATTCCTTCCAGTGAATGATCAAACCTTCATCATTCCTTCCAGTGAATGATCAGACCTTCATCATTCCTTCCAGTGAATGATCAAACCATCATTCCTTCCAGTGAATGATCAAACCTTCATCATTCCTTCCAGTGAATGATCAAACCATCATTCCTTCCAGTGAATGATCAAACCATCATTCCTTCCAGTGAATGATCAAACCTTCATCATTCCTTCCAGTGAATGATCAAACCTTCATCATTCCTTCCAGTGAATGATCAAACCTTCATCATTCCTTCCAGTGAATGATCGAACCTTCATCATTCCTTCCAATGAATGATAGACATGACTTTAGAGTCGCTGAAGAAACTAATTTATTGTGCTCTGAAAGCCTAGCATATTTGCTTTGAATTTCTGGTGTCGTATCTTAATTACCAACAAATGTATAGTTTACTGTCTATATTCCTCAATAATTGGACAGTCAAATGCATAGTGTTCAAGATTGTGACCAACAGGCTGACCTTATACTTTACTAGGTAAAAGAATACTTGTGCAAATAACGCGACATTAGTTGCACGTGTGTCATTTTGACTAACATATTGTTAGTAATTCTGCCAACATTAATACTTTGTGTTTCGTTTAATCATCTGTTTGTCTGCCAAACTGCCACAAGTACTTGTAAGGAAGCCTAGGCGTAGCTACTACATCAGTTAGTCTGTGTGTCTGTCAAATTGTCGGAAGTACTTGTAAGCAAATGTAAGCCTGGCTACTACAACATCAGTCAGTGTTTGTCAAACTGACACAAGTACTTGTAACCAAGTCCAAACTTGGTTACTACAACTTCTCTCGGTGTTTACACTGCAAGTTGCTCCGTAAATGTACTTATCTACGTTTATGTTATCATAGTGAGTGACAGATCTACTCAGGATCCTAAATGTATTCCTGTGACATGTATATTTATTAAGTACTCGCCTGTTATTATGTTTAATACATGGCAGAGACAAAGGTTAATTTATCAGCTTAATCACAGGTTTATCACGTCCTTAATTAATTATCATGTACGACTAAATCAATGTTACCAGTGTTGGTTATCAGTGTTCTAGCAACCACTGGTCTACCAGTGTTGGTTATCAGTGTTCTAGCAACCACTGGTCTACCAGTGCTGGGTATCAGTGATCCAGTAATCACTGGTCTACCAGTGCTGGGTATCAGTGATCCAGTAATCACTGGTCTACCAGTGCTGGGTATCAGTGATCCAGTAATCACTGGTCTACCAGTGCTGGGTATCAGTGATCCAGCAACCACTGGTCTACCAGTGCTGGGTATCAGTGATCCAGTAATCACTGGTCTACCAGTGCTGGGTATCAGTGATCCAGTAATCACTGGTCTACCAGTGCTGGGTATCAGTGATCCAGTAATCACTGGTCTACCAGTGCTGGGTATCAGTGATCCAGCAACCACTGGTCTACCAGTGCTGGGTATCAGTGATCCAGTAATCACTGGTCTACCAGTGCTGGGTATCAGTGATCCAGTAATCACTGGTCTACCAGTGCTGGGTATCAGTGATCCAGCAACCACTGGTCTACCAGTGCTGGGTATCAGTGATCCAGTAATCACTGGTCTACCAGTGCTGGGTATCAGTGATCCAGCAACCACTGGTCTACCAGTGCTGAGTATCAGTGATCCAGCAACCACTGGTCTGCCAGTGCTGGGTATCAGTGATCCAGCAACCACTGGTCTGCCAGTGCTGGGTGTCAGTGATCTAGCAGCCGCTAATCTACCAGTGCTGGTTATCAAGGGACTTGAGCTAGAGCACGCCACAGCCGCGCTGGTATGGGATTCGTCTGTAAAAACTTGTATTGTGGTCACAATGGTGGCCCATGCTAACCTCCCTATGGCGTTATCTAGTTGGATGAATCTTGGTAGCGCCAACTGGCCCAGTGGTTAACGCACTGGCCTGTGCGGTTTAGGGCCAACTTGCCATGGGTTGGGACCCCACCCGTTCCATGATCTGGGTATCAATAGTAATGTCTTTATTGCTACAAGCCCATGTACAACGTATACAGGCAATGACATATTACTATATAGAAATCTTGTTATGCAGAGCATTTCAAGCAAGTTAGGTCAGTTTTGTCCCAGGGTGCGACCCACACCAGTTGACTAACACCCCGGTGCCTATCTACTGCTAGGCGAGCGTAGACAGCGGGTGTCTTAAGGAAACACGTCGTAATGTTTCCCTCTTACCAGGGATCGAACCAGGGACCTGTGTGTGTGAACTGAGTGCATTTGCAGTCGAGCTACATTCCTTGGCTTGCCGGAGCAGCTTTTGACACCATATTAAAACTGTGACTTCTTCTCCTGCAGGAGGTAGCAGAGGACTCGATGTGTCCAGTGTGTCTGGACCAGGTGAGACAAGGTCGTGTCACACCGTGTGGTCACCTCTACCACGCTTCCTGCCTCAGGAAGTGTCTTCTTCTCTCTCCACTCTGTCCACTTTGTAAACAAACTATATAACTTACAAGATGCATGGAACAGTTCGCTGAAGCGGGACATTATAAAGTTAAGAAGAACATAAGAACGAAGGAACACTGCAGAAGGCCTACTGGCCCATGCGAGGCAGGTCCAAGTCTCCTACCGGCTTAAGCCAATGCACCCAACCTAGTCAGGTCAGGTCACATTGACTTAAGGGAGGAACACGGCAACCGACCTGTTAGCACAAGCTATCAGGTCTAACTCACACCCACCCACATCTACTCATGTATTTATCCAACCTATTTTTAAAGCTACACAACGTTCTGGCCTCTATAACGGTACTTGGGAGTTTGTTCCACTCATCCACAACTCTATTACCAAACCAGTACTTTCCTATATCCTTCCTGAATCTGAACTTTTCCAACTTAAAACCATTGCTGCGAGTCCTGTCTAGGCTAGATATTTCAGCACACTATTTACATCCCCTTTATTTATTCCTGTCTTCCATTTATACACCTCAATCATGTCCCCCTAATTCTACGTCTTTCTAGAGAGTGCAGTTTCAGGGCCCTTAGTCTATCCTCATAGGGAAGGTTTCTGATACATGGGATCATCTTTGTCATCCTCCTTTGTACATTTTCCAGAGAATTTATATCCATTCTGTAATACGGTGACCAAAACTGTGCAGCATAATCTAAATGAGGCCAAACCCAAAGGATGTATAGAGTTGAAGAACAACCTGAGGATCCTATTATTTATGCTTCTTGATATGAAGCCAAGGATTCTATTAGCTTTTATTGCGAACACTTATGCACTGTTGTCTTGGTTTCAGATTACTGCTAACCAGAACTCCTAAATCTTTTTCGCAATCCGTAATATTAAGATTACATTATTTAGTTTATATGTGGCATGGTTATTGTCCTGTCCAACATTTAGAACTTTGCATTTGTCTATATTAAACTGCATCTGCCACTTCTCCGACCACTGCCATCAGTCTATTCAAATCTTCCTGGAGTGCTCGAATGTCCTCGTCGAATGAATTCGACGGCCTATTTTGGTGTCATCGGCAAACTTGCCGATGTCGCTCTTTATGCCCTCATCTATGTCGTTTATGTAGATTGTGAACAGCAGGGGGCCCAACACTGACCCCTGTGGAACACCGCTCGTGACGCTTCCCCACCCTGATTTCTCCCCATTTATGCAAACTCTCTGCTGCCTATTTGTCAACCATGCCTCTATCCAGGAAAAAATTTCTCCTCCTATTCCATGTGCTTTAATTTTCCTCAATAGTCTCTGATGTGGGACCCTGTCAAAAGCCTTACTGAAGTCCATATACACAATATCATATTCATTACCATGATCTACCTCCTCAAATACCTTAGTGAAAAAAGTTAATAAATTCGTAAGGCAGGAACGCCCCTTTGTAAAGCCATGCTGAGATTCGTTGATTAATTTATGCTTTTCAAGATGGCTACGAACTGCCTCGGCAATTATTGATTCCATAAATTTTCCCACTATGGAGGTTAGGCTTATTGGTCTATAGTTCGAAGCTAAGGACCTGTCACCTGTTTTGAAAATAGGTATCACATTTGCCATTTTCCACTTATCTGGCACCATGCTTTTCAAGATGGCTACGAACTGCCTCGGCAATTATTGATCCAGTAATCACTGGTCTACCAGTGCTGGGTATCAGTGATCCAGCAACCACTGGTCTACCAGTGCTGGGTATCAGTGATCCAGTAATCACTGGTCTACCAGTGCTGGGTATCAGTGATCCAGCAACCACTGGTCTACCAGTGCTGAGTATCAGTGATCCAGCAACCACTGGTCTGCCAGTGCTGGGTATCAGTGATCCAGCAACCACTGGTCTGCCAGTGCTGGGTGTCAGTGATCTAGCAACCGCTAATCTACCAGTGCTGGTTATCAAGGGACTTGAGCTAGAGCACGCCACAGCCGCGCTGGTATGGGATTCGTCTGTAAAAACTTGTATTTGTGGTCACAATGGTGGCCCATGCTAACCTCCCTATGGCGTATCTAGTTGGATGAATCTTGGTAGCGCCAACTGGCCCAGTGGTTAACGCACTGGCCTGTGCGGTTTAGGGCCAACTTGCCATGGGTTGGGACCCCACCCGTTCCATGATCTGGGTATCAATAGTAATAGTCTTTATTGCTACAAGCCCATGTACAACGTATACAGGCAATGACATATTACTATATAGAAATCTTGTTATGCAGAGCATTTCAAGCAAGTTAGGTCAGTTTTGTCCCAGGGTGCGACCCACACCAGTTGACTAACACCCCGGTGCCTATCTACTGCTAGGCGAGCGTAGACAGCGGGTGTCTTAAGGAAACACGTCGTAATGTTTCCCCTCTTACCAGGGATCGAACCAGGGACCTGTGTGTGTGAACTGAGTGCATTTGCAGTCGAGCTACATTCCTTGGCTTGCCGGAGCAGCTTTTGACACCATATTAAAACTGTGACTTCTTCTCCTGCAGGAGGTAGCAGAGGACTCGATGTGTCCAGTGTGTCTGGACCAGGTGAGACAAGGTCGTGTCACACCGTGTGGTCACCTCTACCACGCTTCCTGCCTCAGGAAGTGTCTTCTTCTCTCTCCACTCTGTCCACTTTGTAAACAAACTATATAACTTACAAGATGCATGGAACAGTTCGCTGAAGCGGGACATTATAAAGTTGCATCTGCTCTTTCTACTCTGTAAATAATGTACATAAATGGCAAACATAAGGAGGGATGAAGCAAGAGTGGGGAAGTTAAGTGAGCTTCCTGTGAAAATAGAGAAGAGGATGGAAGCAGAGAAGTTGATGTGGGAGCTGCAAGCTGAAGCTGCAGAAGCCAGAATACAGAAACTAGAAGGTGAAGTAAAACTGCTGAAGCAAGATATAGGACAAATGACCTACAGTAGGCCTGTTGGCCCATACTGGGCAGGTCTTTCATAAATTCAACTAACAGAATATTTGCCCAACGCATTTTCAACGCTACCCTGCAAGATGTGGAATTAAGACAATTGTGCAACATCTGGGTATCTATTTGTAGACGTTTTGCCATCCAGTGGCTTTATCAATACAAGGACATAATGCAAAGAAATATATATACAAAAGACAAGGTAATCAGTCTCACCTCCAAGACTGAGAGATTGAATACCTCATCTTTTGCACACATATATTTCATTACATTATGTCCTTGTATTGATAAAGCCACTGGTTGACGAAACGTCTACAAGTAGATACCCAGATGTTGCACATATGCCTAATTCCTAAACAAACTATAACTTAAAAGACGCTTGGAACGTTTCGCTCAAGTGGAATGTTATCAGGTTACTCCTTCATAAAAATAATTTCTCTTGAGCAAAACATCGTTGTCAGTAACGTTAAATAACATAATACTTTAAACATTCGATACAGACAGTGATGGTCATTTTAATTCAGCATTTGTTATAAAACTTTTTTTTACAATAACTGTGGAAAATTGCATTTATCTGAATGTAACTAATTATGTACATAACAGTAAATGATAACAAAGATAATTATTATTTATCAATGTTACATAGACAAGTAGGAATTTGGGACACCTAGGTCGCAAAAAATGTCCCCCTTCGATACCTACCACTGTCATATCCACAAGTTGCTCTGGACCTATTAATTAAATGAATTATACATCAGGAATTCTCGTAAATATATAAATTTGTGGACTATATTAAAAAATTATTATATAAATTCACATATACATAAAAGGAAAATATATCTTAATATCACTCACCAATTTGACTGGATATTAAGTTGTATCATACTCAGAAAAACCTCACTAACTAAATTTATGAAAACACTGGCCAGAATTATACACAAATCTAGAGAGCTTATCTGAGGTTCCTGGAGCTGTCTTGCCCAGTCGTCTGATATCTCAAGTTATGCAGGAATGCACATCCAACAATTTCGCCTCCTATTTGAGGGGTGTCAATCCAATTTTAACCTCTAGAGCATGAAAAATTCTTCCCATTACATTAACGTTGTATCCAATTCAAAACCAAGATGGCGAGTCACGTCTGCGCAGACGCAGGCTTTCCGTTTTCTATGACATAAATATTATTAAATACAGTATGGCCATCTATTTACAAATAAATACTGAATTTCTGGAAAATATATACAGTATTTTCCACAATAACATTACACGTCAACAAATAGTTTTGAAACTGCGTCAAGTTGTTGCCAGTAAATAATATATTTTGTTCACAACATGTCAGTGATTTTTTACTCTTAACCGAAATAATTGGAAATGTCTGTAGTGAGTAATTGAACGAAGATCAAGTTTCCAGAGAGGGAGGGAAGGAAGGAGATAGGAAAGGAAGGAAGGAAGGAGGGAGGGGAAGGAGGAGGGAGAGGAGGTAGGAAGGAAGGAAGGAGGGGAGGTATGAAGGAAGGGAGGGGGGGAAGGAAGGAAATGAGGGAGGGGGAGGAATGAAGGGAGGAGAAGGAAGGGAGGGGAAGGAAGGGAGGGAAGGAGGGGAAGGAAGGGAGGGAGGAGGTACTTTAAATAGTCTATCCAACTATACTGTTGTGAAGACAATTAATAATTTCACATAATGTGCAAATTGTAAGTGCAAAAATCTAGTATTATGTCCCCTTAAAATATATTTTTGATTCCCAATTTCGTATTTGTATGATTTAATTTATAATTGCCATAACCCTGAACATAAATGGCCTGATTTTTCTAGGCAATGTGTATATATACAACAAAATGTATATACCCTCCATAATGTATACATCTACCATTTATTAATAAAAATAATCATTAACATCTCGGTTACTTTCCTGATTAAGGCGTGAAAATCTTCACCATGAAGGACTCGAGATCTAAGGCATCGATCTTATTCGATTACTTCCCATTCATCAATCGCTGAAGAAGCCTGTTATGTAGGCGAAACGTTTCAACAATAAAGATACCTAAGCAGAAGTATTGGAAGCTGGCTGAGCAAGGGCACCACCTCCTTCGCTTATGCTTCCTTGGCTTCCTTCGTTGCTGTAGCCGGGGAAGTGGCCCTGGATTCCGGGTTACTGTAGCCTCTGGAGGAGCTTGCTTCTTTATTTGATGCTGGAGGCTGGACAACCAGGGTTATCCATGCTGCCTTGATACAGCAGAGCCTCTCCGGGCAGTGCAGGTTCAAGGCTATAAGAAGGCACTGATTTAGTTATAGAAATGTGGATGACTGGAACAAAACTCCCGAGTAGCTTAGTCATTAACACTATCTTTAAACTCGACAGTCTCCCAGAAATGAAGTTCCTTGAAGCTGACTCTACAAGAACGCTCAAGATCATCAACCATCTAGTGTACACGTTTAGATAACTGGTTCATAGAACCGAAAGGTTGATGAATAAATAAATGTGCAAAACTTGGGTACTTTTATTGTGGAAACGTTT